GTTTCTGACCGACAGTCCAACACCAGAAGAATATTGAATAGGCAAAATCACAAAATGAATTAAGCAACCTGTTTGCTAATTGATTGGATAATTATTTTTGTTTTTTGGGGGATTGACTAATTGACTGATGGATTAACTGTTTAGGCTATAACAATTTAGATACGCCTTAACCAGCTTCAATAAAAAAGTTGCTTGTAATTGCTAATAATAATACATTTATAATATTAGCCATAACCAACAATATAATAACATATTAATAGAACATTCTATATGACCACAAAAACCTATGTGTTTGTAAAGATAATTTAGCATGGAGCTGCTTCTTTAAAAGAATGCTTAACTTTAAGTAAAGTAACTGAATTCTTCAGCCGCACTGCACTGCACAGAATATCTATGTAACTGAGCAGCAGACTGGTGGCCGAAAAGGTACAAACCAGCTACATTGGCCCAAAACCGAACTTACATAGCAGGTACATTTCCATTGACAGTTTGCCAACTTTATACACGTCAACAAGCGCTGTGTTCATCACTTTTTAGTTTCCCCGTTTCCGTTGTATTTTGAGCTTTTTGCAGTTATTTTAGTAAACGCTGCACATGTGTTGTCAAGTTGTTGAAGATGTTTTTTCATTTGCATGTGTTTTGGCACATTTGTGTTTTTTATTTGCATTGATTTCAACACTTCAGCGCATTTATCCTAATGGAAATGTTTTGGGTAAGTAGCACCATAGAGTGAATAACTACAAGAGAGATGCAGTGTAACTAGAGAGATGCAGGTCAGAGTTCCTCTGCACCTCCATCCATGACAAACAATGATGTCGCAATAAGAACAAACAGCCCAAAGCATGACCTGATGCTCTGAGAATTATTGATATTATAAAGAGTATATAATATCAAATCAAATCAAATCAAGTTTTATTTATATAGCACATTTATAAACTATTTTTGGTCGGGCCAAAGTGCTGTACAAATAATAAAAATACCCTACAGTAAAGACATTTTACAGCTAATACAACAGCACAGTTTGATCAGAATATCAGTATGAGAAATAAAATGACACCCTCTGTCCTTAGAGCCTCACATCGTACAAGGAAAAACTTCCGGAGAAAAACCCACAGTTTAAAGGGAAAAAATGGGAGAAACCTCGGGGAGAGCAACAGAGGAGGGATCCCTCTCCCAGGACGGACAGACGTGCAATAGATGCCATGTGTAAATCGAAGAGATAATACGTTTTACAGCGTAGGTAGACCGCATGTTAGGAAATGCATGTGTCTATAATAAGAAGATGAATCCACGAGGATGTCAACAACAATCCTGTGGGAGCCATCAGGGAAGCAGCATGACGAGAGCCAGGCAGGACCGCAGAGACAGGCCCAGCCACGACCCGAAGTCCAGGACTTAATCCAGAACTCAGGATAGAGGATCTAGGGCACAGGACCACAGCAAGAGGATCAGCCTCGACTCCGGATCCCGGCGTCGATATAGACACAAAAGAAGAAAAATTTGGCTGGGTTAATCGGAACATGAGAGTACACAGACACAGACAGACAGAAGGAAGAACAAGCACTCCCTTAGGATAGGTTTAGGGAAAAGGGTAGCAAGTAAGAGAGTAAGAAACAGAGGTGGAGAGGCACACGCAGGGAACAAGGTCCCCACTGGAGCTAGTCGAAAATTGGTGAGAGATAGGGAGGTACGCTGTGTCTACGAATCGTAACACTCCCCGGCCTGCCTAAGCCACTCTGCAAACCTGTTTCCCTCTAATAAAACCTCGAGAGGTTAGAGAGGGAAAAGGTTTTGGATAAAGAGAGGATAGAAAGAATCGATTACAGGAGTAGAGAGTATGAGAAGTAGAGAGAGACAAGATTTAGAAGAATGAGTAGTAGTAATAACCTTAGTTTTCAATATACGATCCAAGTTTTTAGGATTTAAGTGAAAGAGCAAGGACCCAAATATAGGTGAAGATGCACAGCGTATCTACGTCAATGCAGTCTTATTAGATTATTATATCAGCTATAAGCTTTATCAAAAAGGAAGGTCATAAGCGTACCAATAAAACGGATAGGCTATCGGCCGCCCGAACACAAACCGGAAGCCGAATTCCACAAAAGTGGAGCTTGATAAGAGAAGGCTAGAAGGCCAGAGAGAAGAAATTAGTTTTAAGTGTCGATTTAAAAACCCCTAGGGTCTGGGCCGACCTCACATGGAGGGGCAAAGTATTCCAGAGCCTGGGGCCCGTTGCTACGAATGCTCGGTGCCCTCGGGTTTTAAGCCTGGTCTTAGGTACTATCAACAGCAGCTGGTCAGCCGACCTTAAGGCTCTGGCTGGGGTGTAGTGATGGAGGAGTTCGGCTATATATAAAGCCGGAGCCAGCCCATTTAGGGCTTTGAAAACAAATAAAAGGAGTTTAAAATCTATTCTGAACCGAACTGGAAGCCAGTGTAATGAGGCCAGAATTGGGGTGATGTGGTCACGCTTTTTATGGCCAGTGAGAAGACGTGCAGCTGCATTCTGAACTAGCTGCAGGCGTCTAATTGAGGCCTGGTCCATACCCACATACAGAGCATTGCAGTAATCCAGTCTCGAGGTAACAAAGGCGTTAATAACCCTTTCTAGGTCTTTAAAATATAAAAACGACTTGGTCTTAGCCAACAGTGGTATTTAAAAAAAGCAGGTCTTGACTACGGTGCTGACCTGCTTATCAAATTTAAAAGCGCTATTGAAGGTCACTCCAAGGTTCATGACAGAGGAGAGGATGTTTTTATTGAGGGAGCCCAGAATATCAACCGGGGAGGCTGGAGGTTGGGGTCCAAAAAAGATGACCTCGGTCTTGCTCTCGTTGAGGGTGAGGAAGTTTTGGCTCAGCCAGGATTTCATCTCTGTCAAGCAGTCCATCAATAGCTGTAGTGAGTTGGCATTTTGATTGAGAGGCAGATAAATCTGTACATCATCAGCGTAACAATGGAAGGGGATATTATGTTTTGTGAGAATTGAACCTAGGGGCAGTATGTACATTTTAACTGCAAGTAATGGTTCTGTATAACTTTTCCCGAAGTCTCACTCTAGATAAGTTATTCATCAAGCTAACGACCGGAATACACCAGTGCTAGCTGAGTTAGCTCGTGCTATTTTAGCTAACCTGCTAACGCTCCGTTTACAAACAAACAAGTTCCCCAAAATAAAAAGGTATTCACTCTATTCACACATAACAAATCCCAAACAGCAGTACCGGTCATTGACACAAAAAAGACAGGACATTACCAATTCAACCGGGGAGACTGGAGGTTGGGGTCCAAAAAAGATGACCTCGGTCTTGCTCTCGTTGAGGGTGAGGAAGTTTTGGGGGATATTATGTTTTGTGAGAATTGAACCTAGGGGCAGTATGTACAGTAGAAAAAGGATGGGGCCCAGAATCGAGCCTTGGGGAACCCCACAGGTAAGAGGGGCTTTGGCAGAGGAGAAGGTACCTAGCTGCACTGAGAAGCTACGGTCTGTCAGGTAGGACCTGAACCATGCAAGGGCAGAGCCTGTGATGCCTGCGGACAGTTCAAGCCGTGATAACAGGATGCTATGGTCCACAGTGTCAAAGGCAGCAGTCAAATCTATCAGCACCAAGACAGCTGGGCTACCTGAGTCGGCGGCTAGGAGCAGATCATTAAAAACTCTTAAAAGGGCTGTTTCAGTGCTGTGCATGTTTAAAGCCAGACTGAAACTTTTCGTGGATTCCATGCGTGGTTAAGAACGACTGCAGCTGGGCGTAGACTACTCGCTCCAGGGTTTTCAGCATGTGTGCCTTTTTATGTTATACAGTTCAGCTTTGATTCCATCATCTCATTAAACCTTATTTAAAAGCATTCTTTAGTTCTGTGAAGGGATATAAGGGATATATATAATATTAATTAATTTAGGAAGTGTTATTGTATCACTTAAACAACTTGATGTCATTATAAATGCTTCCACATAGAAGCTGATTAGAAGTGATGTCAGCTGGGTGCTGTACTCATGCACAGAAAAAAAAATGAACACAGAAATTAGAAGAAAGTGTGGCATAGAACAACAAAACACAAGACTCTATTGGAATAAACAACTGCCATCTTTCTATTTGGTACATAGAGTTTGAAGAAATATAAGGCCAACAAAAAAACTAATCTTCAGGTAGACAGTAATGGATATTATTAAGGGAATTATTGACAAATATCCTGCTAAACAAAATTAAATGGAAAGAGTGACAAGCTAAGAGGACAGAAACTGCCAAAATCAGTAGCATTATACAACAATGCAAACACAACACATTTATTTGAATTCAGAATGCATGAATGAAATGCTTACACAAGGTTTATAACAAGCGCGAACAAAACAAAAATAATCTAAACCATGGTCACATCAGAAAGTATATAGGTTTGTTAATTTTATTGGAGCGAGTATTGCACTCTATCTCTTATGTAACCCAGGTTATTGTGACCCAAGACAATTAAAGTTGTAAAGAGAGCCACAAAGTCCATGTAGGGAGGAGTTCATGATGGGTCAAAATACAAAGACGTTTCACCAAGGAACACAATGAGTTACTTTATACAGTGATACAGTATACAGTTAACTTATTTGTTACATAACTCCCGTACTTAACCCAGTTTTTTAACCCAAATACAATATTTTCCCAAAAATGAACCAATTCGTTTTGTTGTCTAAACTTAACTAATTAAATACTGTGGTAATGCAGAGCCACCAACGAAAGATGAGTTTAGCACATCCAGCGTTTTCCACCTCATCACCAGGGACCCCCAGTTTTGACTTTTGGCTAAAAGGTTTGTGCACTTTTCTTATTAAAACATCTCTCCAGAGATAAAGTGTTACTGCTTTATTATAAGTGACCAATCTTTTCCAAAATGATTGCAGTGGCTGTCTTTTCCAAGCAATTTTCTACTTTCAACACTAAGCAAGTGATATTCCAACCTTATCTGAACAAGCCCAACCCCAAAGCCTTGACTGAGGCTTTAAAAGGAGAGCAGCCAATTTGTGTTCAGAGTAAGCAAGGAGATGTTCTCAGGCTGAGGTGCAGAGACAGAGGTATGGGCAATGAATAATTGTATCTTTTTGTTAGGGTGTGGGTGTGTGTGTGGGAGTAGACCCCATTCTTGCTACAATAAATACAAGGATAACTGCATTAGTTGAGCTGTGTCACGCTGACCTTTTTAACGTTACTGTGACAGTTTCACAACCCTGTTGACGTCTTCACCCTGACTCCGCGGCTCAGACAGAAGCAGCAGTGTTTGACAGCATGTTCGAATGCCAGGGAGGACGAGTCCAGTTGCACTACTGTTTGACAGTGCTGTCTGGACTCTTGGAGAGTTTGTTCTTCACAGGGATTACCTTTGGCTGGGCTTCTTTAGTGTTCGTGTTGAAGATTGATGGATACTTTGCTGGATACTGCACCAACACCACCAGAGCGGAGGACCAAGATGTGTCTATAGGTATATGAACATAATATACATGTATTGTGGGTAAACAAAAAACTGCTCTATCAGTTCATGTGCCTAATTGTCCTACTCTGCCTCTCCACTACATGTCAACACTTAATGGCATACGTTTCTAGACCTAAAAAGGGCACAATTACAACCAGGCTGTTCACACACTGTTATTAATTTTATTGGAGCGAGTATTGCACTTTGCACTGTGACCCAAGACAATTAAAGTTGTAAAGAGAGCCACAAAGTCCATGTAGAGAGGAGTTCATGATGGGTCAAAATACAAAGACGTTTCACCAAGGAACACAATGAGTTACTGTATACAGTGATACAGTATATGGTTAACGTATTTGTTACATAACTCCCGTACTTAACAAGTCTTTTTATACGTAGTTTTTTTAACCCAAATACAATATTTTCCCAAAAATTAACCAATTAGTTTTGTTGTCTAAACTTAACTAATTAAATTTTAATGGAAATACGATCTTTTCCTAAACCTAGAACCTGAACTAAGTCGTTTTGTTGTCTAAAACTACACTACAGTAGTGTATTTCAAACGTACTGTTTTATAGAACATACTTATTTTACTACAAATATGATCTTTTACGAAACCTAACAGTAAAACCTAAAGTCGTTTGGTTGCCTAACCAGATTCTGAGCTGCAGAGCTGGCAGGTGCACTGTTAGCTCGTGTTGCTGAACATTCGCAGGAATACAATAATTTGTTGTAAGATTTACGAACTGTGACAGTACGTAGAACCTGATTAACCAGACATACAGTATCGAACCAAAATGTTGAACTCTTTCCATTGTGGCCTATTATTCTTGTATGTTTCTTTCTTTCTTCCAGATTGCAGAGGCCAGGATGAGCACCTTTCTTGGGTCATGTCTGTGGCTACCATCGCCAACACATTAACACGCCTCCCCATTGGATATGTCTTCGACCGTTGTGGAACCACAGTGGCAAGGCTAATAGCTGTGTGAGCATGTCAGGAAACAAACTGTATTTTATTCTTCTTTTTGTTGATGTTTGGTTAGTAAAAGTTCATGACTTTAGGAGCTGTCGAAGGAAAGAAGAACTGCAAATAGCGACCTTGGGTCTCATGAAATAGCTACCTTGGCTCATGAAAAGCGCTATATAAATCCAAGCTATTATTATTGTTATTATTATTAAATATGTACATCCCTGATTACTATATTGCATGCATACATTGGCAAAGTAAATGTTTGTGCACATTTCCAGTTCTGAGCTGTTGGAGATTGCAGCCTAGCTAGCTAAAATGAGCTTTCCACAAATTGAAAAATACACAACATTTTATCACCCCTGAAGCCCCAACCACCATCACTCTCACTGGCATCCAGACAGCCCCCCCGGAAAGGTCAGTGTATCAATGTCACCAGGATGTCGCTATGTTGCTTAGCTCAATATCATCTAAACATTACACAATATGGAGACTATTCAAAAACCTCAGCAATGATTTTCCCCTCGGTCAAATTTTCAACTTTCCTATGTAATATGTTGAAATTACCCACCTGACAATACAGGCTACTGAAGTTATTCCTAAAATGTCCCTTTTATGCTTTTGGGGTTTTCCCTTTCCTGTAGTGTTATAAAGGCTTTTGTGCATGTAAATGGTCTGCGAAGGCTACAATCCCAAAATTCTCGCTCCAACATATTGTAATCGATAGACTAAGGGGCGGGATGTTTCTGACACATCTCTAAGCGGTTGACCAATCACAACAGAGTCAGCTAACCAATCAGAGCAGTCTGGGCTCTGGTTTCAGACAGAGGGTGAAAAGAGGTGCCGCAGCACAGGAAGTATGAGAAAAATAAAGACCTTTTCTAACATTAAAGCATTTAAACATGTCAGAGTAGAGGCACAACATACTAATATTTCCTCTTAAAACCTGTAGAAGCACTAAATTATAATTATTGATACATTTTTGTGTAAATCACTTCAGTGTTCAACTTGGTAAAGGCAATTTTACCATTTATCATTTAATTGATTTATATTTTGCAATAATAACCTGAATCTGCTAATTAGCAAGAAAATAAAGCTACAAAAATAAATGTAGACGAGTAAAAGTACAACATTTGCCTCCTATATGTAACGGAATACAAGTATAAAGTAGCACAAAATAAAAATGCTCAAGTGAGTTTGAATTTGTTATTTGATTCTTTGTTTCCATAAAGGGTTTCCATGAAATGATATACAGTATATTCATGACAGTGTTGCTCATCCAAAGCGCAGACATATTGTGTATTAGCAGCAAATTAGCCAAACCATTTGGTCCAGTATGTCATCATAAGTTAGTGTTAGAGAGCAGTCCATGCTAACAGAGCTTGCTTCAAATGGTCATGGGATGGCGATTATTCTGTTTGGAATAATAGGTTAACTATTGAGGAGTCAATAAGAACAAATCAGAGTTGGTTGGGCAGAGGCTGTGTCGATACGGGGACTCAGCATATGTCTATGTCCATTCTCCTGTCGTAACTTCCAATAAATCTTCAGTGTCTGAAAACAGTTTGAAGCTCTCCCATGTTTGCTCCTTGTGTTCCGGTTCTTTGCTCCAATCATTTCATCACAGTTAGCATATATGATGCTCACCCTGTAAATTATTTTAAAGGGATGGTTCAGATGTTTTTAAGTGGGGTTGTGTGAGATACTTATCCATAGTCAGTATTACCTGCAGTAAATGGCGGATGGTACTCCCCCTGATTAGAGAAGCAGAACGGAGTTACGGTACAGAAGCTGAGCACTAAAAAAAGGCCCAACTTAAAGTGGACCTATCATGCTATATTTAAATGATATATTGTAGGGCCATACCTATATAAGGTATATTTATACGTTTCTGTTTTCAAAATACCAAACAGATCATGCATTTTAGCCATGCCTCATTTCGCTCTATGTGCTGTTTGCTCTCTACAGGGCTGATTCTGTGAGCTGCAGCTGACCACGCCCCCCTGCAGGAGAGGGGAGCCGTGCTCTGATCAAGTCAAGAGGGGGAGAAAAAAAGATCTCTGTCCTCCGTGTTTTATTATATTATTATAGGCCTATAGAGTCGTTATTCATTTGTTTTAAAGCTCAATAAATAACAAAGAAGACCTTTGACCGGCACTTTTCAAATTTTGTCCGGAAGATTTAAACTTTAACGGACATCTTGAGCGGTGAAAGAAACTGAAACTGAAACTCTGCCGCACGGTCCCCTCGTTCCTTGGAAGAGGCGGAGAGGTGGGTGTTTGTCATCTGCTGGTGGACTAACCGGAGAGAATTACAGTGCTTGCCTCGACGGGGAGGGATTGCATTGAATTAAAGCAGCGGGAGCAAACGCTTGCCTCGGGGAGGGAGAAAAAAAGCCACAGCGGAGAATAAACAGAAGGGTAACCATGGTAACTATGGGCGGGAAGTCTTCTTCGCTGCTTTTGTGGCAGACTACAGCGCCATTTACAGGCCTGGCATATGTACTACAGCGTCTCCAGCGCTTTCGAGCGGCAATGGCCGGCCGTGGCCCAATCCCACATTCCCCTGATAGGTGGAGAGTTGGCCCAATAGCCGTAGCGCCACCGTCCTGACGTCAGTAACATGTTCAAATCTGGATCAGTTTTTATCAGATCCGTTGCAGCCCCTTTTTTAGAGATTTGGGTATGGAGGAAAATAGAGAGGGTTGTGTTTTCTGACACTTGGTGAGTTCCCTGGAACACCGGGGACACATATTCATGTATAAAAGACGTACAAAAGTGCATTTTGCATGATAGTTCCCCTTTAACATTTTCAACATCAGTTTAAGTGTATGGAATATTCAGAACATTTCCATCTCTTAATCTTGCTGTAGGACATTCTTAACATACTTGAATGAAGAACTGCGTCCCTTACTTATGCTCTCTTAAAAGATTCCTTTGACAAAACCAGTCAATTCACCTTGCAGAACACAGGAGTTGCTGGTCTGACGCTGCCTCCATTGGTTAGTTTGTTGGCGCTATCGATTGGCTTTGTTTTTTTTCAAAGAGTTAGTTTGGAATCCCCATCTCTTCTTATTTGTCTTCTTCTCCAAGAAGACCACCATATACTGTAGGTGATACAATGACTACGGAATAAATATGTCCTACAACGCCACTTCAAAACAGCCAAACTATTCACTTAACTACTGGTTAGATTTGACCTTTGAATTTACAACAAGAGGATTGAAGTAGTCAATTTTAATACCAAAAATGTGACCCAAACTAGTTGAATTTGATAATTAGATTCATTATCTTACTGCAGATGTTTTTACACCACCGGCACTCTACTCATCACACTGTCAAGGGCAGGTAGGTTGTTTTTGCACATTGTAGTTTAGGAGCAGTTACTGTACACTGTATAACTCTTTGCTCTGTCTCTCCTTCAGAGACGTCGGTGTTGCTGTATCCTGCGACTGCATGTCTGGTTATTGCTGGAACAACCCTTTACATCACCAATGTCCAGGTTTGTTACGACCTGCCATAAAAACGTGATATTGTCATGGTATGGTTAGTATGTTGCTGTGTTAGGAGGACAAAGAACCAGATATCTGCTGTTATAAAATGTAATGTATCTGTTAAGGTGGCGAACCTGTTTGACACCTATCGCTCCACCATCATCAACGTCTACAACGGGGCCTATGACTCCTCTGCTGCCGTCTTTCTCATCATAAAGGTAATGGAATCTAATTCAATAACATTGTATTGTGCTCTTCAATGCAAGAACCAAATGCGAAGTGTGTATTTTCTCTTTTTTGTCTTTCTATCTACAGCTGCTACATGAAAAAGGAGTGTCTCTTCATTCGTGTTTTTTCTTCCTCACCTTGTGTAGCATATTCCAACTCCTACGTACTTTCTTATTAATGCCCAAAGGACATATCCCCTACCCCCTGCCGGACACATACACTTACGGGTAGTTCAAACAACACCATCCAGATGAATTTAGTTGCGATATTTGAATTGTTTATTACCCACTTCCTTTGCTCTGACAGGTTCAGCTGCCCCAGCACAAGAAGAGAAAGAAGAGAGGAGAAAGAGAATGACAAGGAGGACCAGGAATTAGATGTGAAGAGGAATAAAGATGATAAGACAGCAGAGGCTGAGACATCTGCTTTGCATCTACTCAAAAAGCCACTGGTTGAGCCCAAGCAAGAGGAAGGTATCGTCAACAAACCTTGTTCCCACCTTTTTTGACAGTTATCAGCCAATTAAATGGTTATCAGTTTTCATCTGTAGAATACATTTCTGTCCCTCCCCCCCCCCCCCCCCCCCCCCCCCCCCCCCCCTCTAATTGGCTAGGTTGGCTGTTATAATGTATTGGTAAGTAGGGTTAGGGTTAACAGTAGGGTAGAGTGGGGTTAGATGAGCCAATTTGTACTTATATTGTCCTCTATAAATATTAGATAGAAGATTAATGACAACAACAACCTTTATTTCAGGATGTCTTCTGTCAATCAAAGTGAAGATAATGCATCTGTCACAAAGGGCAATGAAAATATGACTTGTGGTCTTATGGCCTAACTTGCCCCATCTAAGGGGTAAGTTGATTCGCATTAAGTGGTCAATTGAGCCATCTGGGAGTAAATTGACCAATTGTCTTTCAAGTTTAAACCTGAGCATAAGTTAAACAAATATATAATAATTTCTTTGCCAGTACCTGCTTTGGAGTCTGCACTATAGTGACACCTGCTTTGTCAAAATTATAAATCAGGATTGGAGGAAATGAATGCCTGTAAAACAAACATAAAGGAGCCAGATCAGAGTCAGAATGAACTTAACAGCCATCAAAAGATATCCTTGTAAATGTAGCTGGTAGTTAAACACATGTGCCAGTTATTCTCTCATCTGTCTATCACTTTAACCACATTGTCAAATAAAATCCTCCACTGTAGTTTTATTGAAGGCTGTAGCCCTTCCCATGGATGTTGTTTTAGGCATACAGCAGGAAAGATAGTGGCTTAAAATTACTGAACAATCTAGACCTAAACGAATATAATTTATTCTATCAAGATACTGTATATGTATCTTCATAAGACCAATTCACCTTAGCTTTCCTTCATTGTTTCCACAATGTTTAAAACATTTTTTTTAAATCAGTTGTTTAACTATTGAAATACCATTTTAAACTGCCTCATGGGGCTGAACCACTGGCTCAATTTAGCCCCCGGCAATTGTCTCACTTTGCCCCACAGCCACTTTTTGGGTGAAAAAAGCTGTCTAACTAAGTCATTCATGCCACTAATGATTCACATGGTTTTATGCCTTGCTAAATAACCAACATGTTTACATTTTGATATATTTGCTAACATAACAGTAATTATGTTTGTTTACTTTGACAAGCAAATCAATTTTTTGTGTGAAAAAAACATATTTACCGCTTCTCTCCATCACAGCCAAATAGAAATGATGGTTGCTTCCTGAATGTATGGTCACAGGACAACAAATGTGCACAGTTCCCTAGATAAAGAGGGTGGGTTACCAACTGGCTCATCTTAACCCACTCTCCCCTAATTATGACGAGCAATGGGAAGAGGACGTCAGATTTGTGTCCCACAGTGACAAAAAAGTCAACACATTGACTTTAAATAAACGTATGTCCGTAGTTTGAGCATTTAAATGACTGTGACATCAATTGGGCAAAAATAATCTAAAGTAATTCTGGGAATTATAGGTAAACTCTAGCTCAAGAGGATTAGGAGACAAGACAGTGAAGGATGAAATACACAGCAATGTTTCATTACAAAGTAACTCTCAAGACCTTAAATGATAATGACATATTAGTTCAAGAATAACCACATTTAAAGTTTTCCTCCAGAAGTATAACGTTTTTTTATTTAATTCTTCCATTTCCTTACATCCAGTTAGTTTCCGTAGCTGTGTGATGTCCTGGCTCTTCCTGTGGCACCTGCTGTGGGTGGTCACCAGCCTCCTGTGTCAGTTCCTCTACCTGTCCCTCGTCAACCCCATGCTCACACGGCTGGCCAATAATGACCAAACCTTGGGTGAGGAAGTATCACATTATTCAATTTCTATGACCATTTTGCTGTGTGTCACTTGCTCCATGTTTAAATTAAAAAGCAGGAGACCAAGGACACAAGACATCCATTCCAAATGTTGTACTTTCGTCATGAAGATGTTGCAGTGTGAATGTTTATTACACTCATCGCTACAGTTACATTTATTCCATGCCATTGGAATATGTTCTACTCTTTCTGGGTAGTAGATGTCAATTAATCATAAAATGGGAAACTTCAAAAGTAACCCAAGTAAACAGGTTAGCCACTGCTCTAAATTAGTGCATGGGGTAAAGTAAACTGCTATAGCAGTTGATACCATGGCAACGTGATTAAGGCTACAACTCTCACCTTTGAAATGAATGCAACCATGGCAGAAACTTTTTTAATGAATGACAATAAAATAAGCCTTGTTTTTTTTTTCTTTGGAAAGTAGCCATGGTATGATTGTCATAATACACTTCGACTTGTCCTGATATAGATTATAAGGCACTCAATAGATACAAATTGCATCGCATTTTATTATATCTACATTATTGTAAACCAGCACGTGCCGCCCTGTGTTATTACGTTTTTTTCAATTCTTTCTTTAACATAATCTAGAATTAAACCTGCGGTGACTATTTTTGACCATTGGAGCAGCAGAATAATGTATTGACACATCCCAAAGTTGCAGAACAACATCATTTAATTGTAGCTGCCTATGACTGGCAAATGCAAGTCCTGTATTCACTTTGCTTTTAGCTCTGTTTTTGGTCTCCACCAGCTCCCCTGGAAATAAGAGGCTTACAGAATCGTGTCTCCTGTTTGGTGCTGAGCAGGTGCTAATGTTTGCTCTGATGTGATGTCACTTGAGTCAGCAGCGTTAGCAATGAGCCTAAAGGCCACACATTTTTAGAATGGAGTTGGTTAGTTAGAAAGAGAAATCTTACCAGAGCTCTAGCTTGATTTTCATTTCTGTTTGAGGGTAGAGGATCTAGATCAGTGGTTCTCAACTGGTCAGGCCTCGGGACCCACTTTTTACTTTGTAAATAAATCGCGCTGTCATATATATACGCTTTTCAACATACAGTATTAATTAAAGTGAAGTACAGTGCATATATCCCTTATATCCCTTCACAGAACCAAAGTATGCTTTTAAAAAGGTTTAACCTGTTAAGCCCGAGAGACCCCGGTACCGGGGCCCTCCCGCAACATCTTGCAGGAAACAGTGTCTGAGGGCATGTTCATTTAATAAACTATGAATGTTTTATATCCATGTAACGGGAAGAAACTCATCTAACTGATCTTTTTTTTTTTTTTTTTTTTTAAAAACCACAATGCTAACGCTGAGCCTCTGAATTAGCAACGAGCGAAAAATGCTAACAGATTACTACACCGAAATTCACTCATAAAACCTTATTATTTATCTTTTCTGCACATCCAACACATCAATCTGATCGTGAGATTACACAGAATCGATGGGTCCATACATTATCACTCTATGATACGAACTTGCGACTTTATAAACAAAAACAGACATCAAAACATGTGGCGCTAGGTAGCTAAAAACGCTAACATGGCTTACCTGTGTCGTAGTCTGGTCAAAAGTGGTCTTCAATGGCATTAAAACGATAAAAACGCTGCTGAAGTTAAACCATAGGTTAATCCAATGTGTCTGTGTCCCTTTGAAATGATTTCTGATAATCCATAAGCAATAAACCTGCTTTTCCGTTTCCAGATGTCAGATAGGTTCCCTCTGATGCAAAAACTGCATGCGCGAAGCCCCCCACCTTTTTTTTTACCATGTGTGTGTGTGGGGAAATTCCCCTTCGATTCTATTGGCTCTAACGGTCAGAAAGAGATGTCAATCACCAAAATCGACCAATGGGTTCCAGAGAAACGGTAAAACCCCCATTTACACCCAAATCACCTCAGAGGTGGAGTTTCTTTTGCTAAACCTCTCTAAAAAGGTCAAATATCACTTGTTTTGCATCAATCTTGATACAGGGTACTTATTATATGTTGTACTTTGGATTCCTAAAGCTTTTAGTCTACCTTACCATCATCCAAGGGTAGTTTTCACTTGGACATTTTTAGAAATACTAACATATAAACTACGCATTCTACACTCTGAGAAGAAAATAAATACATCTATTACTACCCGACATATTAATAATATTTTCTGCCATTGTTTGTTTTTCACGGGCCTTCAAAATAAAAGTTTGAAAAACAAAACAAAAACTAAAGAATTAAAGCTTTTTTTTCTTTTCTTTTTTCTTCACTCATACCCCCACTCGAAACGGGTCCGCGACCCACTTTTGGGTCGCGACCCACCAGTTGAGAACCACTGATCTAGGTTATATTAGCTTCTACCAGCATAACACATCTGAATATCCCACTGAGCTGTTGCCAGGGGGTGGTTTCATTGTAGGTATTGCAATTTCTGCTGCATCGATTTTGAACTATTTTCTTCATTTAACTTTCCTTTCTTTGACCTCCCTTTGTGTGTTTGAGTGTTAATGGGAATTTAAAAATATATTCTCATACGTCTTGGATGTTGGAGCTTGGTTAGCCAAGGATGATTTAAAAGGAAAACAGATTGCTTTTAAACAACAAACATAAGTAATATAGACATAGCCTATTACTTAGCTGATGCTGTATAAAACACAACATAATTATTAAAGCACCGTTACCCTTTTTATTCTTTCCTCCTCAAAGCTAAGTGTTCTCTTTCCTTCCACCCCTTCAGTGAGTCACTACACCAATGTCTTTGCCATTACCCAGCTTTGCGCAGTGCTGCTTTCACCCTTGAACGGCCTCATCATGGACAGACACAAGCACAAGCCTCACAAGCCTTTAACTCAAGGTAAGTCACATTTTTCATAAAAACAACTGTGGAGAAAGCTTTTTTCTGACTAAATGTTGGGGCAATATGTCCCTGATTGGTGTGTTTGAGAGGTTCAGAAACAAGAAGTCCAATTTAAAATGTTGAGCAGTTTATTTTACTTCTAGATATGCATGTGTATGTGGTTTACACTCAGTGATCAGTGATTTAAGTGTGCGATCACGTGACTTTTTAATAGAGACTTCTGACACGTTTCACATTTGCCTGCCTCGTCTTGCTATTGGTTCTTCCTTCACAGACCTCATCGATCCGTTATCCATCATCGTCTTCTATCTGTTTTTCAGGAGAGACAAAGCGAGAAGCAGACCTGAGTTCCCTCCCTCTCTCCCTCTCCCTGAACTCCGTGCAGTGTTTCCTCTTCTGTGTGTGTTTCACCTGTCCTGTCCTCCCCCTGCAGTACCTCACCTTCATCCTGCAGGTTGTCAACAGCGCCTTCTTTTACGCAGGACACCAAGCCTTTATCAGCACTGCGTACGTTCCCACATCCTCCTCAATTCCAAAATCCACATTCATTCGAAAAAGTCCTTCTTATCTGACGTTGATCTCCATCTTCTGTTATTGTCTCCTCTCTCATACAGCTTCCCAATGCAACATTTTGGGAAGCTGTCAGGGTTGGTGATGACATTATCATCTGTGGTGCTGTTTCTCCAGTTTCCAATTCAATATGTCATCAAACACCAGCTGCAGGGTGATCCGCTCTATGTAAGTGTTCAGAGGGTTTGTGACACTGTGATTAGCCTTACTGATAGTCCCAGTAAAGTACAAAATAAATGGGATTTAAGTCTGAAAGACCACAGTAAGATGTTTACACCTAGCGAAATGTAAATGATTCAAAAGATTTCTTATCAAATAAAGTGTCAAAATCATATTAAGGATAAACAGTATTCTCTACTCTGCAACTGTGGGTAGTGTCCAATAGGAATGCATTATAAACAAAAATATTATAATTTGTTTCAAGTATTATTGTTATTGGCTTAAGCATGACATTTTTTAAATCAACATTTTAAAGCAATGTTACATACCCCCTGCACTACTCCAAAGCATCCCTAGGGAGTACTAGAACCTCCATTTGAGATGTGCTGCCCTTGGGCATTTACAATAATTGCATTTAGTGTCAGGGCTTTATCAAGAAGTTGGACCCGAAAGCAGTAAAAGAGGGAAGCAGGTATAACAAAAAGTGAGCTTTTAATAAAATATACGTGATGAAAAACAGCGGAACCAGATAACGTGAAACAAAACTACAAAACTAAAAAGTAAAGTGCATGACAAAAGGCCTGGAGGCTCAACTGATTGTGTGAAGTGACACAGTTTCTACTGGTGCCCATCAGCTGCAGAGAGTTAACTAATTGAAGGGGCGTGGCCCCACAGCTGTGACAACTCAGCAATCAGGACTGGTGTCCATTTTAGGCAGCATTTTCCTGGAGCGTCAGCTTCAGTGTCCGGCTGACAAAGACAATAGAGTCCTGCGGGAGTCACGAGAGAGGCAAAGAGGAGGCAAATCCTACTTGGACTGAGCTAAGTATCGCTAGTGCTTTTCCCTCTACCAACTACCTAACTTCACTCCTTCCACCTTTGAATTCCATGCCGTCACAGTAACCCATCCTATACAATTAACCATTGTTGTTCTCTACCGTCCACCAGGCGCCTTCGGAGACTTCTTGGAGGAATTAGATAATCTCCTCTCACACATCCCTGAAACTGGCCCTCCCACTGTACTTCTCGGAGACTTCAACCTCCAGACGGGGAAGATATCTGAACCAACATCTCTTTTAACCGCCTTTGCTTTCATACTGTCTCCATCCCCACCAACTCATAAAGCTGGCAATGTCCTTGATCTCATATTCTCAAGGAACTGCACTACTTCTAACCTCTCTGTAAACCCGCTCCACACCTCGGATCACTTTTTCATAACTATCTGTTATGCTACGCACGAAATTCTTTATTATTCCGCCGGGTTATTTTGCGCCTCTTCTTCTCCCACATTCCATATCGCAGAAACTACGTTCAAACATCAAAACGTTCAGCTCGGTCGGGAATCGATGGCTATTACTTTTCTTATTCATAACTTTCATAATTCCAGAGATACATCCTATAATTCATCACATTTTTAACATGGAAGTCAATGGAGAACTCTTCAGACTTCAACAATCTTCATGCAACTTCAACTGCTAACTGCTCCTTCAACTGCTAACTGCTCCTTCATACTTTCACTCAGAAACCTCATTCCAACTTAAAAATGTTACACATCTTTCTGACATTATTCGTGTAACACAACTTTTAAATCTGATTCATACTTTTAGAGATATTAAACATTGTTCAGACCTTGGTAAAGAGGCCTTCTTCAGATTTTAGAGTGCGTGATGTCACAGCTAGAGTGGAGGACAGATTTCATTTTGCCTTCATATTTTCTTTTAAACCTGCCATAATTCCCAAACCCTACATTCCTGAGACATAATTGTTCATGACAAACGTAGGAAAACATCTCGTAGCTTGAAAAATAAAAATAAATTAAGCAAAATAATTAAACAAAATGCCATGGAAACATTTGATCTCTGGACACATCGTTAGCTCAAATATAAACACCTGTGTCATGGAACACGATGATGTCATAACTCCAACTGACATGCTCAGAGCAGCAGACTTCAGATAATGGTTAACCTCTTAAGGACGACGGTCCCCCCAGTGGACCCCCCCACTCTCTCTCTAGGTCGTCCTCAGACGAGCCCTCCATCGTCGCTTCCAGTCATCCCGGTTCTCCATACATCTGGCCAGTTCATTGGTACTTTGTGCTCCTGCGTCATTCTTGAGTACGTCCACGTATGTTAGTGTGCGACGTCCTCGTGACCGATGCCCGTGTGTTGGTTCCCACAGCACCCACCGTTTTTTTTCGAGACTGTGTCTCAGGGCTTCTTAACATTTATGAAACTATTAATGTGTAGCACCAGATTAACGGGAAGAATCTCAGCTAACTGAAGATATGAACAATTTTTACCAAAACAAAACACAAGGGTAATACCAAGCCTCTGAATTAGCACTAAGCAAAAAAATGCTAACGCACTTGGCACAGAACTCAAGATAAAGATACCCTTATTACTTATCGTAACTGCACATACAATATATCCGATTAAAGCTGAGACTCCACAGATTATATAGGTATAGTATCATCACTGAGCGATCCGAACTCGCGACAGGGGAAGCAAACACAGACATCACAACACGTACCTTTACGGAGCTTTTACGGGAGATCGTCTCACCGTAGCTGTCAATCTGATCAAAAGACGTGTTCAATGGCATTAAAACGAGAAAAAACGCGGCTGAATCGGTTGATCCATAGGTTAATAATGTATCTGTCGCTTTGAAAAAATTATTTATAATCCATAATTCCATTTTTATGTAAAAATCGGAGAAAAAAGTTAGCTGCTAATGGTAGCCAACAGAGTGTATGCAGCTTCCGGTTATAAAGAGATTTCATTCATCAAAATCGACCAAGGGGGGCCAGAGATATGGAAAATCCACCCAAATGACCCCAGAAGTGGGTTTATTTTGCTAAATCTCTCTAAAAAGGTCAAATTTCACTTGTTTTGCATCAATCTTGATGCAGGGTACTTATTATATGTTGTACTTTGGATTCCTAAAGCTTTTAGTCTACGAACCCATCATCCAAGGGTAGTTTTCACTATAAGTAAAAAATAATTTTTGGACGGACACTATAATTTACAGTTATTTACTATGTTCAATCTGAATTTTCTTTAAAATAAAAAACATCTATATTGATTCTGACTTTTCTACATCCAACTCATAGGTTTATCATTACTTTGAGAACAAAGATTATTAATTTAACCCTTTTAGAAGGGAAGATATGGTCATTTGTTCTGGGAATGTCATTTTCGAGCCTGAGACCTGAAAAACAGGCTCAGGGTGGCGCGTTTCCACTACAGCGCGGAGCACGGTTTAAGAGGGCTGTGACGTCAGCGGCCCGTCTTTGGTTGCGTTTCCACTTGGCCTAGTACCGGCCGGCGGGTCCTAATTCACAGTTTTTCTGGCCTCATAAAATCGTGGGTCTAGGGCCAGAGACAACGAGGCTGAGTATGCTAAACTAGAGAGAGCATGGCTGGCAAGGGGGCTACAACTACAACAAGATGGACATATTTGACCGTGATTTAATTGTAATACACGTTTCAAAATGATGCCGAAGTAACAACATACTGATACCGGTTAGTAAAAACCATGAATTAATGCTTTGACAAGTCTGCAGACAGACGGCAGGCGAAAAACCTTTTAAAATGCGTGTTTTCTAAATGGAGATTGGCTAAGCTGACGCAGTATATGCTCCGACCGTCCACACTCACAACAACGGCCTATACAGACATAAATAAAGCAGCGACTGTATTCGCCATGACACAGGCAGTCTGTGGTTTGTACTTGTTTAACTTTTGTCTAGTTTCTGAACATATATGAGGAGCTGTGAGCTCTGAGTGCTAACAGCTAACGGCTGTGTTGTTTTTCTGGGGTTCTCATTGAAGATGACGTCACGGCTCCGCCTACACTGCGTTACTATAGATACTACCCCAGTTCCTAAACTGTAATGGAAATGCGCCATAAAGTGAGCCAGTCCTAACGAGGCCTAGCCATACCGAGCGGGGCCGAGCGAGGCCGTGTAGTGGAAACGCGCCATAATGGTCCTGCCCTCAACAGCTCTATGTCAATTATGGGGTTCCATGGAAATATCCCTCGCCATAAAACACGATGTCGCTGTAACTCCAATGGATACGGTCCGATCGTCCCCCAAACTTTGCTTGTATATCACCGGTCCATGCCTCAACAGCTCTACGCCAAATCTGAGATCTCACCATAGGCTGTTGCCATGGAAACGCATCCCTCGCCATAAAACACGATGTTGTCGTGATACCTATGCAAATGGCCTAAAACAGCACCAGACTTCAGATAATGGTTAATGGTCCGGCCCTCAACAGCTCTATGTCAATTATGGGGTGTCATCATATGCTGTTTCCATGGAAACGCATCCCTCGCCAAAATACACGATGTTGTCGTAACTGATATGAAAATGGTCAAAACACCACCAGACTTCAGATGACAGTTAATGGTCCAGCCCTCAACATGTCTATGTGCCTGCCATTAGTGAGTTTTCCTCAAAAGCTGTTGCCATGGCAACGCATCGCTTGCAATAAAACACGATATTGCTATAACTCCTATGAAAATTGTCAAAAAGTGCTTAAACTTCACATTTGTGCTAACAGTCCAGCCGGGAAGACATCTACGGGACAGTTTTGAGATTTCTTCAAATGCCGTTGCCATGGCAACACAATGCTCACCATGAAACACGGTTTTCTCATAACTTCAGTGAAAATGCTCCAAACAGCCCAAAACTTCACATGTTTGGTAACGATGCAGCCATCAACATATCTAAGCGTATTATGGGGTGTCATCAAATACCGTTGCCATGGCGACAGATCATTCGCCATCAAGTTAGTTCAATAGTTTGCAGTTCAAATATTCTGCTGCTTTTCCAAGCTTTTTTACTTTCTTTTCTTCTCTCATCACACATTCAAGCCCCCAGTGTTCATGTATCATTTCAATCTAAATTCTTCACTTTCTTCTTACACATTACATTTCAGCATAGCAATTCAGCGTCAGCTTTTCAGCATAAAGCATTCCCACTAGCAATTTCTTCAGGAATTGCATTCTCTAGTTCTCTCTACCCCTTTCCAAACATAACAAACTAATCTCTTCTAATTCTGCACCTGTCCGCCGTAACATTCGTTCCCTCTCCCCCTCTACACTTGCCTCATCGGTGCTCTCAGCCCTCCCTTCGTCTGACTCGTTCCAACTTCTGCCTCCAAACTCTGCTGCAGAAACTCTCCTCTCGACTCTTTCATCCTCTCTGGACTCTCTCTTTCCTCTCACATCTCGGCAGGCTCGTCAGTCCCCTCCTGCTCCCTGGCTAAATGACGCACTGCGTGCTAATAGAACCATCCTTCGGGCAGCTGAGCGGAAATGGTGGAAATTCAAACACCCTGACAACCTCCTACTCCATCAATATCTCCTCTTTCTCATCTTCAATCTCTCAGGCAAAAAGCACTTTCTTTCAAGATAAGATCCATTCTTCCTATTCCAACCCCCAAAAACTATTTTCTATCTTCTCCACCCTCCTTGACCCCCTCAGAGCCCCTTGCCCCTCCTCCCTTCTTCCAAGCGACTTTGTTAACTACTTTGAAAAAAAGGTTGATGATATTCGCTCTTCTTTTTCCGACTCACCATTAGCCACCACTGGGTCACCCACACACTAACCTCTTTTCCCCCTCTCTCTCCAAGTGAGGTTCTTACCCTCATTACCTCTGCCTGTCCAACCACTTGTCCTCTGGACCCTATCCCCTCAAACCTCCTTCAGACTATCGCTCCTGATATTCTACCATTTCTCACCCATCTCATCAATACTTCTCTAACTTCTGGTCACTTTCCAAACAGTCTCAAGGAGGCAAGAGTAAACCCTCTCCTAAAGAAACCCACTCTCAACCCGTCCGATGTTATAAACTACAGGCCTGTCTCTCTCTCCTCCCATTCCTGTCTAAAACACTTGAACGCGCGTCTTTAAACAACTCTCCTGTTATCTCCATCAGAACAACCTTCTTGATCCACACCAGTATGGTTTCAAGGCAGGTCACTCCACAGAAACTGCTCTCCTTGCTGTCTCTGAGGAACTGCACACTGCTAAAGCAGCCTCCCTCTCCTCTGTCATCATCCTTTTGGACCTGTCTGCTGCATTCGACACGGTGAACCATCAGATCCTCCTTCGCACTCTCCAAGAACTTGGAGTTTCAGGCTCTGCACTTTTCCTCCTCACCTCATACCTCACAGACCGCACGTACAGGGTAACTTGGAGAGGGTCTGAGTCCGACACTTGTCAATTAACTACAGGGGTCCCTCAGGGCTCTGTCCTTGGTCCCCTCCTCTTCTCTCTGTACACAAACTCGTTCGGGTCATTAGCCTGCATGGTTTTTCATACCATTGCTACGCTGATGACACCCAATTAATTCTGTCTTTTCCCCGTTCTGAAACCCAGGTCGTCGCACGCATCTCTGCTTGTCTAGCAGACATCTCTCAGTGGATGTCTGCTCACCACCTCAAGCTCAACCTTGACAAGACTGAACTGCTTTTTCTTCCGGGAAAAGAGTGTCCCACTCTTGACCTAACAATCAACATCGGCCGCTCTGTTGTTTCCCCGACTCAGACTGCAAGGAATCTGGGTGTGACCCTAGATAACAACCTGTCCTTCACTGCAAACATCGCTGCAACAACCCGCTGCTGCAGATACACTCTTTACAACATCAGGAGGATATGTCCCCTCCTGACCCAGAAAGCAACGCAACTTCTGGTCCAGGCTCTCGTCATCTCACGCCTAGACTACTGCAACTCCCTCCTGGCTGGTCTACCTTCATGTGCCATCCGACCTCTGCAGCTCATCCAGAATGCAGCAGCTCGTCTGGTCTTCAACCTTCCTAAATCTTCCCACACCACACCGTACCTCCGCTCCCTTCACTGGCTTCCAGTAACTGCTAGAATCCACTTCAAGACACTGGTACTAGCGTACCATGCTGTGAATGGATCTGGCCCTTCCTACATCCAGAACATGGTTAAACTGTACACCCCAGCACGTGCACTCCGCTCTGCATCAGCCAAACGGCTCGCTGCACCAGCACTGCGAGGGGGACCCAAGTTCCCATCAGCCAAAACACGTCGGTTTGCTATCCTGGCTCCAAAATTGTGGAATGAGCTCCCCATTGACATCAGGAGAGCAGAAAGCTTACACACCTTCCGGTGCAGACTAAAAACTCATCTATTTCGACTCCACTTCGAGCAATAAAATTACTAACAAAGCACTTATATACTAATAAAGGACTGGCTTATCTAAAGCTAGTTGAGTAGCATTTGAAATGTTTTGGCTCTATGAAACCTGATGTACTTATATGATTCTGTTTTCTTCAAGTTTGCATCTTCTTTGTCGAATGCACTTATTGTAAGTCGCTTTGGATAAAAGCGTCAGCTAAATGTAATGTAATGTAAACAGAAGAGTACAAACCGATGGGCACGAGAAACAAAAGCAAGAACCGCGGCAGGCACTAGGGGAAACAGGACAGGAACATGACAACCGTGAAACTCATGGGCACTAGGTGAACACAATCTTATCACACAGGTGGGAAAAACAAAAAGAAAGGAAGTCGAACAGACAAGAAAAAAAGAGATAAAACATTTCAAAGTAAAAAGGGAACATTTAACACAAAAAAATAAGATCATGACAATTTAGTTTAGAGTGGTGCAGGAATGAGTCCTAAAACCCAGAATTTTTAAAGATTTTTCGCTAAGATGCCTGAAACAAGGTCGGTGGTTAACACAAGCTGAAAAGATATTCACGTTTTGTTCTATGAATAAAAACACATCTATAAATACAGCAATGGTGAATGTCTGAAGCTTCTATGTGTCTTAAAAACAGTGGTTGCTAACAAGTGTATAGTATATAGCCTCACGTTAGCTTTTTATTTCTAGCAATTGCATTTATGCTTCTAAAATCATTTGAGATTATCCTGCTTAACAAAACTTGTAAGTATCATAAATGTTTGCTCGCCACAGACATTATTTTCTGCAATATTCCAAAATCCATTGGGAAAATCTCATTTATCTTTGGTGAGGGAGCTGACTTTAGGTCTGCCTACAAAATAATGTCTTCGAGCTTCACTTTTTACTCCCTTATTTATCACGGGAGGTGATATGTCTTTATATTATTAGTGTTTGGAGAGGAGTTATGTTAATGATGGCACCAGTGAGTCATCAAGACAATGAAGATGAACAAAAACTGAAACTGTATAATGGACTTTTTTACACAATTCAACACTAAAGAGTCTGATCTATAGCATTCACATGTTTTTAACAACTATTATCTAACATCTATGTTGTGTTTTACCTGAACTGTAAACCTGAGCAGTCATGTAATCGAGTATATGACTCTTTTACCCCCCTCTCCCTAATTTCTTTTCTCTCATTCTCTCAGGTAAATGTGGGTCTCACCGTGTTGTCTCTGCTCACTTTTATTCACCCAGTCCACGTCAGCCTCTACTGCAAAAAGCTGGCTAAACAGAGAAAGACCAAAGAGGCAAATGGTCATGGGTCTGCAAAGTGTTGACATTATCAGGTGCACCAAATTGTGAATATAAAAGGAAGAATGTGTATGCATGGTTTCATCCACGCAAAAGCACTGTCTTTGCTTGTTTTAGTTTGTTATGTTGAAAATTGCACAAATGTCTGTCAGTATCTCAGGAAGTTAGTATTTTTTTATTTGGCACAAACATCCATTTGGAGTCAACCATTAACTGGCTGGATATTTGGTGTAAAAGGTCACTATGACATTACATCTGTCTTATTAATCGTTAACATGACTTTTGTCTTGAGGGAATATTCAACAATTTGGCACAAAAGTTTGACACAAGGATGATTTTATTAGTTGTTTGTGAAACATGTTTATTATCCATTTTGGTGATGTGCCAACATATAAAACCATGTCATAAATTTAGCTAAAAATGAGTCTGAACTCTATTTGATTAAAAAAGTGTATTTCAAAGTAATATTACAGAACTACAGGTGATTTATCATTGTAGAAAAGCTATCATGCCAGGAAACCTAGAACAAACCAGGTATTGACATCAGTGGCCAATTAATTATTAAGATATATTACTTTGGTAAAAGTAGCAATATTACTATGTTAAGTCCTACATTTAGCTTGAGTAAAAGTGGTATTAGTTTAAAAAATATACTTAAAGTAAAAGTATACAGATGGGCAGTATGATAAGACATGAATAATACCTCATTGTAATAATAATCCAAATCTGTCAAGTAACAAGAGTAAAAAGTGCAATCTTTCCCTCCGAGATGTAGTATAGTAAAAGTAAAAAGTAGCAGAAGATAGAAGTACCTCAAAATTGTACTCACATAGTAAATGTACTCAGTAACATTCCTCCAATGCTCAACCGCCCTTAAAGGGATGGCGAGAGCAGCCATTAATGTTAAGAGTGGAAAATCCACAGATCAGTGGCAAAAGACAGAAATATTGATAGGTCAACCCTGCTAAGGTTACTTTAAAAATAGGAGGCAAAGGACGTAAAAACTGTAGCGCAGCAGCAAAACGGGGCCTCAAAAAGGACGTATAGATGAAGCTTGTAGAACAAAAGCAGCAGCTAATGATTTATGGCCTCACTCCAAAGAAACGCTAGCATTAGAATTGGCAGAAACAAACAACATTCCTGTCCCAAACAACTGGATATTTAAAATAAATGTTTTAAGTTGTTTCCCTGATGGCAAACATTAAAACATTTAACTGTATTCGGATGTTTTTATTGTTCATTACCTTAACCACAGGAACCCTCTATCTCAGTGGTTCTCAACCTGTGGTACGCGTACCGCTAGTGGTACGCGGGGGAATCTGAAGTATAAAAAATATTTATTTTTTAATTTTAATTTAACCTTTATTTAACCAGATGAAAACATTGAGACAAAATCTCATTTACAATGCTGACCTGGCCAAGAAGGCAGCAACTTTACACGTTCTTACACATAACACAGATGTAAAAAATACAGAAAACATAACTAAGTAAAGAAAAAGGCGAAAAGCAGTCACTACATTGTGCACATTTGGGACAGTAAGAAAGGTAAACTACTTATTACTGCAAGAGCAGCTGGTGGTAAGGACCTCAGACAACTTCAATTTAAAACAGGCTATAGGGACAAGTGCCATCAGTTTGAGTCTTGATTGAATAACATTAATTAAAAAATAAATCATACTATCAAAATACTACAACGAATGAAAATAAGCTTGAGATAATTGAAACTGTGGTTTAAATAAGTTCTAATAGGCTATTGTTGTTTTTAGATTTAGAAACACTTTTTCTTTTTTTAAATGTATTTCTGGCGTTGCTAATGACGAACATACTACCCGCGAACGATTAGCGAACGTTGCAAGCAAGCTAAAGAAAGAAGAAAGCTGAATGATGTTAAAAACGTGGCTCAAAACGGGAGGTATTCGGAAGAGAGGTACAGAGGAGAATATTCGACAGGTGAGGAGAGAAAGGGGGTCAGTGGGCATCTGACCCCCTCCCCGGACTTAATGTGCTTACGTTTCCCGGGCCCCCGGCCCCGGGGGACGTAACGCGCACATGGGCCCATAGGGCTGGAGGATTCCTTTCCCCTGCATTAAGACAGGAGGAGGAAATCCTCTACGTTATGGCACACCTCCGCGGGGTAAGTGCGTCAGCCGCAGCCTCTTTTTCTCTCCTTGGCTACGGCCGAGGGAGAGGTGAGAGAGGCGCAGCGGCTGCTAAACAGAAAGCCGGTCTGAAACAGGGGGATGGAGCGGTATTCTCGCGGGACAGCAGAGCGGATATACGTCGGGCTCCGGCCCCTGTACCCATAGAGTCCAGTAGAGGGCGGAGCCTGTGAGAGATATAACGTAGGGTTACGTATGGTAACCCATGTTATATAAGCACAGCGGAGCCCTCTACTTATGGAGCACTGCTGCCCTATGCTGCTCAGCTAAAAGAGAAAGTAAAGGGATAGCAGTGAGCGGGCGAGGTCGCCTCTTACCCCTAGTTTCCACCGGGTCCGTCTGCGTCGCGTTACGGCTGCGCCGCGGTTTTGGTCCGACCTCCTCTAGCGTCATAACCCACCGGGCGCGTTCCAGAAGCGTTTCAGAAGCGTTTCAGAAGCGGAGCGTCGTGCATGCAGGCTCGCAGTTTTTGTTGATTTGGGCATATTTCCTGGACAGGCTACTTTGTACAGACAAAGTTAATAATAACTGTAATATTCCAGTTATAAACGACATGAATCAAAGATGTGTTGCTGTATTTTAGTGGTAAAAAAATGCATTCATCATCATAATTATTCTATATATATAATTTACACAGTGCCCAACAATTTCCCAATTTGGGATCAATAAAGTACTATCTATCTATCTATCTATCTATCTATCTATCTAAACCGGAGGAGAACACTGGCATTTCTCCTCCTACTTGAAAGACTACGGAGGGATAGGGTCTGCAAAATGTGTTTGTGTGTGTGTATATATATATATATATATATATATACATATGCTATATATGCTCTGAACGTTCCACTTCCTGCCTGCCCGACATTACCTTACGGCTGCGTCGCGTCAAAAATAGGATTCATCCTAATTTTAGAGGAGCCCTGCGCCGAGACGCTTCTGTGACGCTTCTGGGACGCTTCTGAGCCATAACGCGCCGCGTGTGGTGGAATAGCACCCAATTGACTAGAGTGGCCGCGAACTTTGCGAACGCTGCGGCGCAGCCGTAACGCGGCCGTAACGCAACGCAGATGGACCCAGTGGAAATTAGGGGTTATGCGGTGGATGCGCGCGCATTCAGGTAGGCCCGCCCAGTGGGCCGGCTACGGGTAGGGAAGTCTCAGTGAAAGAATCATGGATGTATAATAAGAACTGGATACAGCGTGGGAGGCGGGGCCTCATTCATTCCTATGAGAGTTGCTCATTCGCGCATGATGATAAAATGGCCCAACTTTTGAGAGAGCGAAACGTCACAGATTACCCGGCATGCCTGAGAAGTACCCGTATGTGCGCTCATAGCGCATGCGCAACTTTAACCATGCCCCCCAAAATGCTCGTTCACATCAAGCACGTCAATTTGCGTAGACGTAACAGCACCGCACGTTCATGACAGCATGGTAATGGTTTGTTATTATGATAGATTTGATATTAACGAGGCGACAGTTAGCAGCTAGCGGTTAGCTAGTAATTATGCTAATTTACACATCAATCGTTATGTACTTTTATATTACGCTGTAACAGGATCTAGTGATATCCAAGCAACAGAGCTTCATTTAGCATGAAAGAATTATTGCACTGTATATATATATATATATATATATGTATATATATATATACAGTGCAATAAGCTTCTTAGTGCAATAAGAAGCTACAGGGACGTTAATCTACGTCGGTAATATTAACTTTATTTAATACAACATTTACGGTACAAGATTTAATCATACAGCCCATGTAGTATAATATTTTACAAATGATGAATTACAGTAAAACATGTGCAATATATCCATTATTACAGCTCCGTGGGCTGGCAGTAAGGCGATATGGGTCCGTTCTTATTGTACATCCATGGGTAAAGATAAACGCTGTAGTGCTGAACACGTAACATGAACGTGCCGGGCGGCGCGGTCCCGTGGGTTAGATGCGCGTTCATAATGCAGAGGGAAATAACTCACAGAATAACGTTATTAGCACATTTTTACAACTTGAGGAACGAATGTTTTTAATAAGGGCTATACAAGTGTTCATACTGGGTAGTTTATTTAGTTTAAAAAAAATTATCCAACGATTTACAGACCACTCTTTCCCCATGTAAGTCAATGGGAAAAAGTGTTTCCGTATGGGCTCAGAACAGTCTCATAATACACACATGCACACAGAAGGATTCACACTTGTATTTCATGATCCGCAAAAGGATTCACACTTGTATTTCCGGATCCACACTTGTGTTTTTCAATGCACACACAAATGTGTTCCGTTTCATATACATGTAAATAAAATCCAAATACAGAAAAAAGTTTTACATATGTATTTTTGATCCTCACATATTTGTTTTCCGTTGAAAACCGCTGCACCTACAAACACAAACCGCTTTCTGTGCATGGATCGCTCTGCATTCGTGTGTGGGTTTTTTGAGACTCCCCTGACGGTGAACCGATTCGTACTTGTAATTTTTTATATCTATAGCCAATCAGATGTCTCCTCAATTCTAAGCCAATCACATGAGCGCGCCCCCACGAGGGTAGATTTCTTGCGTTCATGACGTAGCGCTTCATGTACGCATTTTGCGCTGTCCGGAGCTGACAGGTCCATGGAGCCTGCCTGCAGGCGCTAATCTCAGGACACTTCCACTCTCAGTACATTGCCACTTTCCGAACAGGAAATGCACGCAAATACAAGCCTTTATATTATTAAGGTACAGTGCCACTTTCCGAACCATTAATGAATGCTTGTGTACATAAAAACGGCAGGCAAAACCGTTTTAAATGTGTGTTTCCTGTATGTCGAATACAGCTGCTTTATTTATGTCTGCATGAAGTTGTTGTGAGTGTGGAGGGAGCAGCTAGAGGTTAGCTTAGCCTAATCGATCAGTGCACTACGAAGCCAGTGCTAGACAGTGAACTGTCAACGGGGGGAGCCCCGCCGGTCATTATCGGCCGATATTCACTCTTAATAGTTTGATCGGTGCTCTCTATAAAGGCCGATCAGGAGAGCTGGATCTGATCGATATGGACATAAACGCGAGTGAAGTTTTAGCGAGCTGCATGAGAAACTGACGGGCTGTCAGGAGAGAGGGAGGGAGAGAGGAAAAGAGAGGATCCTTACTCCCGTGTTATTAGCCATATCCGGTCATAGTCCGGTAATTACCTGCTAACGGAAACTCTGCTACACAATTCTTATTATTATTATTATTATTATTGAAACATGACCGGTAAGTTTCAAATTTGTCCGGT